CAGGGTCACCAGAACTGTACTCGGAACTCAAAGTGGCATCACCATCATCCTGTACAACCTCAACAAGATGTCCCAATTCCTATACTCAATAGTTGCCATCTGAACATTGTTTACTTACTATTGTAGGTAAGACCTTATGAAGTTTGTCTGCTTTGAGGCCATCTTGAAAGACTGCATCAGGGTTGTATTTTTTTTTACCATTCATATATCTTCTCTGCTGGTCGGTATTTTAGAGTTTATATAGACATGTGTAGCAAGGGTGTCAGATTGATTCTGGGCTGCTTATGTGGTTGGTGCTCAGTTGCTCCTAGGCAGCATCGGACTTCCACAGCTTTTGAACTCAGAAGTGTGAAGTCAATCTTCTCCACTGTTTCCAACCACCTTGAAATGTCCCTCATCAAGAGGCCCAAGAAGGTCCATCAGGCCCAGTGAGGCCCAGTCTGACAGTTCTTTCTCCACGAGGTTATGGGAAGGTGACAGCCTAGTGGTATTATCGCTGGGCTGTTAATCTAGAGACCCAGGTCATATTCTGGGGACATGGCACATAATAGAATTTGAATTCAATAAAAATCTGGAATGAAGAGTCTAATGATTACCAGGAAACCATTACTGATTGTTGGAAAAAAACCCATCTGGTTGACAAATGTCCTTTAGGGAATGTAAGTGTCATCCTTTTCTGGTCTAGCCTACATGTGACTCCAGATCCCACACCAATGTTGTTGACTCCTAACTGCCCTATGGGTAATTATGGATGGCCAAGCCACCGAGGCTCTAATACTGTTGATGATTTTCATAAAAATGTTGTTGTTGAGCCTTTCTGACATTTGATGCTGACTGTGAAAGTTGTCAAAGACAGTTGAGTATGCTTCAGGCTACATTGCGATGGTTGTTTGTAGATATTTGTGCTGGGAAGCGGACTTCGATGGAGATGAAGTTAGGGCCATCTGACTTTAGATCTTCTGCTCTTTGGTAAAGCTTTTGTTAATATAGGTAGCTAGGATGAAGGTCTTGTCATCTTGCTTGCAATGATATGACATTAGGACTGTCTTCTCAATGGCCAGAGAGGTCCATGCAGTGGATTTCTTGGAGAGTAACTATGTCCACATTCCCATCAGGGTTTTCCTTTGTGATTAGCTCATATTTTGCCCAGATTAGTTAATTGAAATTGAACTGGTATACTTTTGTTGCAGATAATGTTTCTCAATTTTATTTTCCTTGAGAGAATCTATTTTCTCAGAGGCTTTGAGTACTTGAACAGGGAGCCTAATGGCCAGGCCTTCTTGATAGCATTAGTTTGCAGGTTTTGAGGGTGGAAAATTTATCTGGAGAAGAAGACTGCATGAAGATTTCCGTCTCTCTCCCTCCCTCAAACAGCAGCACCAGCTGATATAAAGAAGAATTCCCATCAACACAGGATCTCAACAAAAAACCTGCATTCTTGTGAAACCCACAAGACACTCCAGTACACACATCACACAAACTGACAGTGCATTGAGACGTGAGGCTACGATCTAGTTGGCTGCAAACACTAACCACAACCTAATGAGTGGCGAAGTCTCAGGTTTCAACCATCCATGGAAAGTCTGAACCAATTCTCAACAGTTGAGGATGGGCCAGGGAAGGAGTGATTGTTTGCTCCACAAATAGAACATGGGGAATTCCTCAAATTGTGACTGCAATTAGCCGAATTAGACGATTGCCTATACATTGATCATGTGCCCTGAGCAATCCATTCTTGGTGGAAACGCAGTAATTTGCCCTGCATCAGCTGAAACTGATAAACAGATTGTCCACCTCAACATCAAACTATACAGGCAATTGCTGGGTTCCAAATGGTCTCCATTTTGAGTCTGTTCACAAGTCAATTTGTACGCGAGTTGGAACACAATGCTGGACAATACAAAGGAGTTGTTTGTAAGTACAGGAACTGTTTATATATCAGATCTTTAAAAATTACACCCCCGTATGAGATCGCATTCATAACAAGCATTTATAAGCTGGATGTTCGTAAGACAGGGAACCCCCCCCATATCTGCTTCTCCGGCCGTGCAAATAAAAAAAAATTAGGAGCGCTAATTCCAAAACAGAACTCAGTTTAGTTAGTTTCCAGGTATAATACATTGAGCAAATTGTTTATTGAGATGAAATTTCATACCCAAATGCAATGTTCCAGGTGTTCTGCTGCAGAAAAAAATGTCGGTTCTGATTAAGCTATTAATTGAATGAACCAGCAGTAATCCATTGCAAATTAATACTGTAATATGGTATGTGCTTCCTTTTGGCTGTAAATATATCAGGCTTCCTTTACTTTATATGCAAGTTTCATTTATCATTAAAATTAGTGAACATTGGAAAACAGAAGGTACACAATCAATGTTCAGAGAATGATGTTTTTTGAAACAAGCAGTTCTTCATCACACCTCTACCCCTACACTGGACACTGACAACCTGCACATTTTGAATTAATTGATTCACAATGATGAGCACATTGTTATGGGTATGACTTGTAACATAATTGTGCTAATTTTGTTTTGAATAACCATGAATCCAATAAGTAAACAATAATATTATCAGTACTCTGCATAAACTATACATAGATCATAGGAAAACAATGTAACTACTTCCAAACTTTGTCCTTCATTTGAAGTATTGTTCTATTGTGAAACAAAGCAGTGCATTGCCAACTTCTTCATACTATACAGATTTTGAAAAAAAAACAGAATTCCCCATAGCATAAAAAAGAATGTGATTGAGGAAGAAAGTGCTTCTTCAAAAGAAATATACGGTCTGAAAAGGAAAGAGAGATAAAACCCATGTCTACCCCCAATTAACCATTAGGTCATTCCATGAGGTTATTGTATTTTGCTGATGAGAGAAATTAAAATAGCACTCATGAAGCTATTCTGTGGTTGTAATAATAGAATGCTATTGGGACAGCGCAAAAGAATAATTGAATCTCCACTTAACCAGTGCTAACTCAAGTTCAATGCGCTTAACACGGAATGTAAAACCAAAGTACTTTCTTGCTCTAACCTGATATTCCCATCTCAATGAATTATGTTATAATTCCTTCATCGCTGCTAGGTTAAAGTCCTGCAACTCACTTCCTAACAGCACCAAAGTTGTTCCTATAACTCAAAGGCTGCAAGAGTTAAGAATTAAGAGAAAGAAGGCAGCTAATCATCATTTTCTCCAGGGTGATAAGGAATTGTCATGAAATGCTAGCTGTGCCAGTTGCATCCACATCTCATGAATGAAAGTATTTTTAAAATACACTGAAAGTGTTGGAAATTGGTTTTCTTAATAGTATACTAGATTCAGTCAGCAAACAGATGAACCAAGGAGGTCCCACCTTTGCTCCTGTCACTGCAGTTATCCATTGACAGAAACATTCGGGTGTTTTGTGATGCAATGGTATTGTCCAGGTTCAAGTTCCACCTCAGGATCAGATGGCTACATGTGTCAAAACATATCCACATTGTTAGATGACGGCAGAGTAGGACGCTCCGGTCAGAGCTCCTCTGCTCGCTATTCTTTTCCGCTTTTTCTCTTCTTCGTAGTTTTTCCTTTCTTCCCTCCCCCGCAGCCTTCCTGGAGAGTGCAGTTGAGAAGTGTGGTGAGCGAACAGCATCCCGCGGCACTGGGGGAGCGAACAGGCGAGTCACAAAATGGCGGCAAAGCATGGTGGAAGCGTGGCCTTGTGCTCTGGGGCCTACAGGCATAGACTGGAACTTGAGTACTTACGGGCACTTATCATTCTGGACATTTTTCACTGTTTCATGCTAATCTATATATTTTTTTAAACTCTGTAACAACATTATAGATTTTTACTCTAAACTTTGTACCAGGTACTTGTACCTAAGCTGGCACCATTAACGTGGCCATTGTAGCAACTTTTCACTGTACTCCTGTACTGGAGTACATGTGACAATAAAGGATATTCTGACTCCGAAGAGGACGATAAAACTGAATTTACTTTGTAACACTGCAATTGGGCTCAGTGGGTTGAAAAATGCAAAATTCAGCTGGAAGCACAGGTCTTGAATTCAGGATGAAACAGGATCCATTCACCTCTACTGCCTGTGTAGTGAGCAAGTCTGCTGACCAATGGGCATAGGAGCAGGAGGAGAGTATTTCATCCTTGTAGCTTGCTCTGCCATTCAGCAAAATCGTAGCTGATTTGTTCGCAATGAACACCATGCAAATTGTTAAATTTAAATCTGAGATGTTGCAAGAAGTGTGGTAACTGCCTGGTTAGGATCTTTCAACTGTGTGCATATGTGACGGAAATGCATTTGTGGTGCCATCAACAGTCTGTGAAGGATGTGTTTTGGGTGATGGCTTTTTGTGTGCAGAAGTGTGTCAGTTACTTTGATTAAAAAATGCTTGGTGCTAAACTACACCTGTTGAATCATGCCAATTTGAATACCGTGGTATTTACAACATTAATACTTTCCTTCTTTGTTACGCATGTGTAACTTAAAGTTTAATAGAGGGTTGCTAATTATTGAGGATATTGATGAATCCTTCTTATTCCGCTGCCATGGGAGACCAAAGATCCATTTGGTAATACAAATGTAGAAGGTCCTGTTACTGTGTGACTGCATCACCTAATAAATTAACTAGCGAGAATGAATAGGAATCCCTGAATACTCAAATGTAGCCTTCAAAAAGCAAGAAATAGCTTTTGAGAAAATCTCAAGGAAAGCGCTCAAATATTTTGACCCCTGCAATTTTATCAATTTCCATCAGGTCTCAATCATCTAAACTGCAACATCTAAACAACTTGGTCAATCTTTCATTGTATTCACTGTAAAGGCTCACACACAAGTAAAGGCCTTTGGACAAGCTATCAGAGAGGTACCAACACTGCAAAAAATACAAAGTTAGTAACTTCAATACAGAGAGGACAGGAAATAAAATTCCACTTTAGGAATATTTTTTTCCATAAATTACAGATTTCTGGCTGAAGGAATCAGCGGAATCATTTTAAAACTCACCGTTTCCAGACCCAAGAGAACAAGAAGTGGGATTGTGGTCATTCCTCCCTGAATCCATTCTTCCAGGGAGACTGTACCATCATGGTCATAATCAATCTCATCCATCATCTCCTGGAGAATCTATGAAAACGGAGAATCAATGATTTCAAAAACATACTCAGTTCACTTTATGTTAAATTAATTTCATGTTGCTGTGAGGATCCAGAGTTTAAATCTGACCTGGACCAGAATTAAGATGGTTAACAGTAGTATAATGCAGCTGATGCAAATGCTATTGCACAGTGGTAGCATCTGAGCTGGAAGCCTCAGGCTCAAGCCCATAAGGCAATAAGAAAAATGAGCAGAATTAAGCTATTCAACCCATCAAGTCTGCTCTGCCATTCGATCATGGCTGATATGTTTCTCAACTTCATTCTCCAGGCTTCTCCCAGTGACCCCTGATCTCCTTACTGATCATGAACCTTTCTATCTCTGCCTTAGATACACCTCAATGACGTGGCCACCACAGCATTCTGCAGCAATGTGTTCCTCAGTGTAATCACCCTCTGGCTGAAGGAATTCCTGCTCATCACAGTTCTAAACGGTCATCCCTTCACTATGAGGCTATCCCCTCAGATTCTAGTCTTCACGTCCACTCTATCTAGGTCTCTAAGGTTTTAGAGTAGGTCTTTCAGTATTCTGTAAGTTTCGAACAAATCCCTCCTCATTCGTCTCGACTCCATTATGAACAGATCCAGTGTCCTCAACTTTTCCTCAATGACAAGCAAATTGTCACTCTGGAACTTGATGGTCAAGGAAGGTACGATCATAACATAGCCAAACAGGTTGTGTATCAGCCTGTAAATCCTTCCAACATAGCCAATAACAAATGGTAAGAGCAGCACTGGTCAGCTACGGAGAGGGAATGTAAATTGGAGCCATTAGCATCACTGTTTGTGGCTCTGGGATGACAACATTCATGCAAGACTGCATGTTGTCACAGCAATGAGAGCTCCTCATTGGGGTGCAGTTGGCTTCATTGGTTGGATGGCTGGTGTGGATCAGATTGATGCCAGTAGCATGGCATTCTCTCCCACTCTAGCTGGGAAGGATTCAACCCCTACCTCAATGCCCGACCCATGGAGGAGATTATGGTACTGTTGATCAAGCCAGTCTTCAGGCAGAGAACTGAAGAATGCAGCCGAAATGTGGCTTTTGAAACTTCTACTTATGGTTTTATATACAGTGATAAGCCTTTAATTCTATTTAATTACAAACTCAAATTTCATCTGTCTGAGATAGTGAAGACCCAGTTTCTGGTTACATTAGAAATATGCACAGAATTAAGAAGAAACCTGATATGTAGCAGTTACAGACAATTTGCATAATAGACAAATTTTGACCCCATGGTTTCTGTTTGTTATTTAAAATGTGCATTCCTGTAAACACCCTTGCAGACATACATGTCCAGCAACATCTTTGAGTGCGCAGTTAGGAAAAGGCAATTTCTCATCAGTTCAATAAAATCTCTAACCATGTTTTCAGAAATTGTTTGTTTTCTTCTTTGCTTTGGTGGTCAAGAATGTCAGCAAAGTCTCCACGTAGGGCCAAGTGCTTACTGCTTCATTCAACTCCAACAATCAGAAGTGAGAAATATAGTATGTATAAGGGCTGAAAAATAAATAATTACATCCTGCAGCTCTCCACATGCCAGGACAAGAAAAGGAATCAGGAAAGATAAATAAAACAGGAGAAAATTTGGGGAAAAAGAAAGAGAGTGAAGCAATGTTACAAAACAAGAACAGAACGTTCAGTTCAATCTGTCTTTTCGTAAAATTCAGCAGATAGAAGGACTGTAATGTTGAACTTTTAACTGTATTTCTTTATTTTTCCATTTTGTGCCTAAAAGTTTGGACCTAGGTACATTTGTACCCAACATGGTGCTGGGAATGGCAACTTTGTACACTTTTCACTGTACTCCTGTACTTCAGTACATGTGACAATAATTCTAATTCTAATCTACACATATGGTTCTGACATTCCCTTCATTCCTTATCATTCTTGCAGAATACAAGCAAGATCAACTGCTCTGCAGACTGTCATGATCGCAATCAATATTAAACCTTCATTATTTAACTCTAATACCCGAGGCTTTTTGAAAAGACCATACGGACCTAAATCGACTGCTGTGTTGACCTAACAAGTCTAGGCAAGCCACATGGAACATAAAACATTTTTTTCCAAACGATTTATGAAACTTAGCGGGGCACCAAGAAATTAGCACCTCTTGTTTTACTCACACGTGTTTGATAAGTTCACATATTGAGAAAGGTTGGAATCCAACAATGACATAAACATCAGTAACCGCAAGGAACTGTAGATTCCCAGAAAGCTTCGAGAATCAAAGAAGACAACATCAATGACAGCAAAGATACTGAACTTTTCTTTCCCTCTCTCTCCCAATCTCAGAAACCAATGCCAGTGACACAGCAACTTGTAAAAACCACCACTCACTGACAAATCAAGCGTAACTGCATGCTTCCCACACCTGACTAAAGAACAACAGTTGACTCTCAACTAAGAACTCTTCAAAAGTATAAACTGCAACTACCCTTCCCTTCCAGTCTGTATTGACACACTCTTCTTTTTAAGCTTACTACCAGTGTTTATGTGTGTTTGATGTCTATTATCTTTGCACAGTATTAGGCAATAAAACTCAACTCTCTTTTACTCAAGGAAACCTTGGAATTGTCTCCTTCAACTTTGAATCCTAGAATCCCTACAGAATGGAAACGGGCCATTCAGCCCTCTGAAAAGCATCCCACCCAAACCCACTCCCTCTTCTGTCTCTGTAACCCTGCATTCCCCATGGCTAATCCACCTAGCCTTCACATCCCTGGACACTATGGGCAATTTAGCATGGCCAATCTATCTAACCATCATCTAGTTTATGCAGTTTTAGTGTGATAGGTGTGTCAGATAAAGAGAAAAATATAAAGTAAAAATATTTGTTGCAACTAATTGAGTGGAGTTAAAAAGAGGGGAACCAAATAGCCCTCCTTGATTGCTTACAAAAGAGCCATATCTAACCTCTCAAGTTTGAATTTTCTCATTAAACACCAACCACGCTCCAGACATCAACACAGTGACTGCCTTTCTTCCATTGTAAGACCATAAAAAACAGGAACAGAAGTAGGCCATTCGGCCCAGCAATTCTGCTTTGCCTTTTACTGAGATCACAATTCATCTGGTACATCTCAATTCTACCTTCCTGCCTTTTCCTCATAACCTTTGATTCTCTTACTGATTAAAAATCTGTATCTCTGCCTTGAATATAATTAATGACCCAGTCTCGACAGCCCTCTGCAGTAAAATAATTCACTACCCTCAGAGGAGAAATTCCTCTTCATCTGTCTCTGAATGTCTACACGGGGCAACAACATTTTTGCATCTGCGCTGTCAAGTCTTCTAAGAATCTTATTTCAATAAAGGTCACCTCTCATATTGCTAAACTCTAATGAGTACAAGCCCAACCTACTCAACTGCACCTCATAGGACAGGCCCTTCATACTCAGAATCAACCAATGAACCTTCTCCGACTGCCTCAAATGCCAGAATATCTTTCCTTAGATAAAGGGGAACAAAACTGTTTACAATATTCCAACTATGGTCAACTACAGTTTTGTGTAATTTCCCCCCTGCCCATTTTTATATTCTATTCTTTTTGAACTTAAGGCCAAGATTCCCCCTGCCTTTCCTCTTCTCCACTGACCAAGCTGACTAGCTTTTTGTATTTTACAATTTGTATAAACACGCCCAAATCCCTCTGTTCCATAGCTTTTTGCTTCTTTCTCCATTTAAATGATATCCAGCTCCTCTATTCTTCCTGTCAAAGTGTATAACCTCACATTATATCATTCTGCCAAAGTTTTGTCCACTCAATCTGACAATATCCATTTTCAGACTTTTGCTCACCACTTGACTTCCCATCTACTTTTTGTCAAATCCGCAAACTTGATGACAGTACATTTACTTTTCTCAGCTCAGTTATTACTGTATAATGTAAACAGTTGTGGCCATAGCAGTTGCACTAGTTAGAGGTTGCCATTCTGAAAATGCCCCCTTTTATCACAACACTCTGTCTATTAGATAACCGATACACTATCTACACTTGTATACGACTTCCAACACCATGAACTCTTATCTTGTAATGCAACTGAAAAGGTTGTAAATTATGAAAACACCTTACAGAAATCCAAATATATTACATCCATAGCTAAGGGCTCTAAGAAGCATTGTATTAGTGCCCTTACCTCCAAGTTAGGACAAAGTTAACAGTCACATAACTTTTAAAAGTCACAAGAGCTATTCCTACTTCACCTGACAAGGCAACAGCACTCATAAAGCTTGTGATTTTAAATAAATTGGTTGGACTACAACCTCATGTCACGAGACTTTTGACTTTGTCCAGCCCTCGCTCCAAATATGTATGATGAAATTTCTTCACAGACTGATTAAAAAGTATTGATGACACCCACTGCTTCCCCTACATCAATCTTGCCTGTTACCTCTTTTAAGAATTCCAATGCATTTTGGGTTGTTTACTGGGTTAATTGCTTTCCTGAACTAATTGGTGATAAAACAATTGGCCTGTTCACTGTCTTCATTAAATGCAAATGTTGTATGCTTCAAAATGGAGAAGTAGCCTATTCAATGCTTCATTGTGCAGACTGATATCAGTTACTTATTTTCGTAAAATATTGGAAGGTGGAGTATCCAGATACAGCCACAGAGTCATAGAATTATACAGCACGGAAACAGACCCTTCAGTCCGACTCATCCATGCCGACCAGATATCCTGTATAAATCTAGTCCCATTTGCCAGCATTTGGGCCATAAACCCTTCCTATTCATATACCCATGCAGATGCCTTTTAAATGTTGTAATTGTACCAGTATTCACCACTTTCTCTACCAGCTCATCCCAGAAACGCACTACCCTCTGAGTGAAAAAGTTGCCCTTAGGTCCCTTTTATATCTTTCCCTCTCACCGTAAACCTATGCCCTCTAGTTTTGGACTCCCCTACTATGGGGAAAAGACCTTGACTATTTACCCTATCCATGCCCCTCATGGTTTTATAA